GGCCTAGAATAAGTTCACAACTTTGACGACGCTAAAATTTTGGAGTCCAACCTCTTCGAGTCGCACCCGAGACAGGTCTCCGGAGAAAGAAAATGATTAGCCGCTCTAGTGCAAAAGCAAGTATGTGTTTATATTCCTGTTTCGGAATATGTCATTGACATGTGCACTTCCAGGCGACCAGATACTGCTCATGTCGTTTATTCGTGTTTTGGTTTTATGGACGTCCCGATTTTGGGAATAGGTACGAGCTCCCAGTTTGCGAGAGGGGAAGCATTATGAAGATTTCCCCTTCTACTACCGGAGTCTGCGCAGGCTTTAGAGTGCGATTCCATTCTATCAATAAGAAGCTGGCATACTCACCAAGCAATTACAGGAAGGAGTTGCCAGTGTGGAATGCGATGACAAATCGTGGCGCAAGAGTGCTCTTTGAGAGCCTGAACGCTCTCTCCTTGAAGTAGTAAATTGAATTGTAAACAGCTACACCTCATCACAGCTCTTATTTCTGGTCCTCTGAATGGCCTAAGGCGCCGTCAAACCATCCACCATCATCTCCACTACGCAAGGCTTCAGACATCCTAGTAGGACTTCAGCCATCACGGCGTCCCTCCCATCTGCTTTGCGGAGGATTTAATATCCCTCATAAACTTTCTCGCAAGGAGCTTCAGCTGGACCTTGCACGTCCCTAGCAGTCTCCTTTCTTAGCTATCTTTTAGCTGCAACTTGCATTCCACTGCATTGTAGCCATTTTGCGCGGAGTGGGTAGTTCGAAAGTGGATCGAATGTTTCCTTGTTCTAAGTTATTTATTTATTTATTTATTTACCACTGCACTCAATATGCCCCTAGGACAATCGGCGTGCGTATAAATACAAAGTTGACTGCTAGAAAAACTCAACACACGCCTAGATTAGCGACCTAACTATGCAGAATATGACCGTAGGAAATAATGAATTTGTCAGCATTGGCGACTCTTGAAGAAACGAAAAAGAACGTGAATGAGAAGATCTTTAAAGACTTCACCGCTACCTACATATAAATGAGAATAATAGATTGGTCTTGTATCGCGTAAGTTGGTAACGAAGGAGAGCGTGGTCGGTCTGGGCAACGCAACTAACATAGGTTATTCCCGGGCGGGCCAAAGTAGTTGCCTCTTTGATCTAAACACGAACCCAGGGCGTAAGACCCAGACCCAAGCAGTCAGAATCGGAAAACTTGTTGACCCAAGCAATCTGAATCTGAAAGCTTGTTGACCACCTCTCGCATAATGGACGGTATTGTTATGTAGGCAGTGAGCGAATGTCTGACCCACGTGAGGAGGACAAATGTTCAAGCATTCATAGCGGTCAGGACCAACACCTGGCACTTGATAATTTGAAAGAGAGAGGAAATGGTCGCCTAATAGGATGAGGCTAAGCGGATGCTTTGCAGTTGAAATCAAGTACTATGCATATAACAAGTGTGAATGTTAGTATATCAATGGATGTTCTAAAACTGTGAGGAGATCACGAAACAGCCAGCCATCATAGCTTCCTGGACCTGCTTTTGAACCAAGTTGGAATGGATTCCTCTGTATATTTATACATTTTACATACATTTTATGTAATACATAATACATTTTATCCATGCACACACGAAGGTGCCTCCATATGGGCTCGCCTTGACCGCGTCATTCTGGACGGATTTTGAGAGGACCACCTATCGGAACGTCTTGTAAGCCTTGCTGTCCGCCCTTGAAAGTTTAAGGCGTTCTTCCAATGGTACGTGGTTGATGAAAGTGTTGGGCTCCGCGTGTTCTTCATAAGACACGTTAATATGAGACCAAGAACAGGCTCACCGAGGCCGTTGAAGAACATCTTTCGTGTGCATTAAACAACATTGAAAATGGCCCTGACGTCGGTGATAAGTCGCACTCTTCAAAGCTGTCCACACCTACGTCTTGACCTCCTCGACCCACTCCTCAATCTTCTCATATTCTTTCAATTTGGCCTCGATCAATTCAACTTGTAAAATTGCTCAGCGTAGCATAGTTACTGAGCTTCATTCCTACCTAGGCAGCTAGGCTCGTTACCCAGCCATTGGCATACACGTATCATAGAGGTGGTGGATCTGACCAATCTCAGGCCTCATTTATCGTAGTGACTGCCCCATCCGGCAGCGAACTGACACATTGAGCGCAGTGCTCACCCACCACATCAGACAGACGTCCACCACCTCCACACAGGTGTATAATAATACAGAGGAAAACAAGCACATTAAATTGGCACATTAACACAACACAAAGGTAGCTTGTTACTAATGTAGTAGTAGTACTAGAAGCGCCTACCCAATGAGGAGCGATGGGAGCTTATCTTTGAGATTTTGATGGCCTTCTTTCTCGAAGAACAGTCTTCGCGGAGGATCAAGCAGCCTTTTCATAGCCCCGCTCATGGGGGTTAGGTCGTATGCCAGAATTTTCTCGGTGTCTCGCTTGACCCTGGTGAGAAGACGAACTTGCCTCCACGATCACGATCGAGCGAAATGAACCTATTCCTCTCTTTGCCGGCGTGTTTACTTGAAGATAATGGAGACGAAGACAAACGAAGAATCTTCTCATTTTCTCGCGCTCTCATCCTCATGGGTGATATATGAATGAGCCAAGCAAATTTGTACAACGAGAGTGCCCATTTGAGCATGCGGGAACCAACTACTTCTGACTGCTTTTTCCAAGTAGAATCAACTGACCCTCAAGGTTTACGGAGTTATCCAGCATGCAGAGTTACACGGCTACTAAATCTTGGACATGTATTGTGGCGTTTTCTCTTTTTTGATCTATTCCTCACCCTTCTCCTCCACTCTTTCCACCACACGACTTCGATGGGCGGCATAAACCATCTTCATGGCTGGTTTGCTCTGGAAATGTGACTTTGAAAATACAGACATATTCATGTGCCCTGCCCATTGTGCCAGTTGCTGTAGTTATGAAACCATGGAGTTAAATATGTTTGCATAAGCCTCTTGGTGAAAGTAGTGTTGGGGGATTCCTTCCCGCTCTGCGGTTCAGCGATAAGGACCAAGATAGGGGTGTTGATAACGCTAAAGGAGAGACCTTACGTAACAACTTCATTGCTAACTTTTTTGAGGAAAGAGTGAATGTGGATTAAATTGAGAAGAGTGGCCATCTTGGGGCAAGGGCAGGATTGCTGCTCAGGGGAGAGGGAATGTTATATCAAATACCTATTTGAAGTGAGCGTGTTATAAAACTTATTCCTACCGCTATAGATGTCTCAGAATTGAAGACGCATGGCATTATGCAGGGCTTCTTCCCTAACGACACGCCTGTAGTTATTGCAGATGAAGCGCCAAAGACACCGCATAACAGGTGGAAACGTACACAAGGAGCGTCACAACACGTTAACCCATGTTATGTGGTGACTTGTTACAGCGTGTCCGACTGTTGAGTTGCATGCCAAGCATGGTAATCGTAATCTTAGCTTTATTCACAAGATGAAATCGAGGTCTGTTGTCGTAAGGGGTGGGAGGAGAGTGATGCTTTCGAAGGCTTCTTGAAGACGTCAAAAT